CATCTTTGACCATCTTGAAAAGTGTTATGTGTTATTATAATTCAATCCAAAAGAGTTCTAACCATTTGCATTTTTTTTTTTCAGTTTCATAACGCGTTCATGTTTTGCTCTACAGTACATGACAGTTAGAAAGTACGATTTTAGCCGCGATCTTTCCATCTGCTGTCAGTTTTTTTCGCTTATGTAACGGGGGTTAGTGCATTAAAAGGGTTACGGAGCCCAGTAAAGCAGCAGAGTCTGAGTCTGAGCGACACGGTGAAGAGTGACAGGTGCATAAGACACTCGTCCGCTCGCCGACACACGACACAAGAGAAAACTGTTCAACGGCAAAGATGTCCCACAGATAATGAGGAATCAATATGACACAACTAAACGGACGCTTTTGTCGGAAACATGAAACTGTATAGATATTCAATACTGCAACGCAAGCTCAGTTTTTGTCATTTTTTTTGTTTTTAGAATACCGTATTTTCTGGGCTATTAGGCGCTCTGGATTATAAGGCGCGCTGTCATTAAATGGTCTATTTGCGAACTTTTTTCACAAATATCTGCTCCGTGTGTGTTTGTGGCTTTGTAGTTTACTGAAGTCGTATTGGGACACCCGAGTGGATTCGTGTATAGGGCGCTCTGGATTGTGGGGCGCAGTCGATTAATAGCCCGGAAAATACGGTAATAATAATAATAATACGTAACACTTGCACAGCACTTTTCAAGACCCTCAAAGATGCTTAACGTGGTGTTTTAAAGGCAAGTTTTTATCATTTGCAGCTTATAGCTATTTTTATTTAATTTTATTTATTTTATTTGTTTGATCCAGGTACAACAAAATTCAAAAACAATAACAAAAATAGTGATATGTACATGAACATATTTGGGACCTGGTGCTCAAAAGGAGTAGGATGAAGTTTAAAAAAAAAACTTATGGAGTCCTGCCCCAATTAAAGTCAAACCTTTTTTATCTTTTAAACTTTTTGAACAAGTTACGTACGCTTTTATCTCATCGTGCCTGGAAAACTGTAACGAGCTTTATTCCGGCATCTCACAAAACTCACTTTACCGACGACAGTGAGTCCAAAACTCTGCAGTGCGACTTTTAACAGGAACAAAAAGGAGATACACACAAAACCCCAATCCTTGTGTCTTTGCACTGGCTTCCTATTAATTTTAGAATTGATTTTAAGAGTTTATTGTTTGTTTTTAAAGCTTTGAATGGACTGACCCCATGTTACGTCTCGGAGCGCATCCAGATTTACACCCCTGAGTGCTCCGAGGGCCAAGGGCCAGCTCCAGCTCATGGTGCCTAAATCGAGACTTAAAACCAAGAGGACTGAACCTTCTCTGTGGTCGGCCCCAAACTCTGGAACTCTCTGCCCCTCCACGCCCCAACAGCCCCACAGTGGAGAGTTTTAAAGGTTGTATGGAGGATTTTTTTTTTTTTAGTTTAAAATTGTCAGTGAAAGTTTAAAATACCATTACAGAGACGCAGCAGCCTTGTAATTATGATGACCAAAAAAAAAAAAAAAGAATGAAAATCTGTCAACTGTGGACGTAGTGAGGGCAGTTAAACATCAGCCAATAGAAAACAAGGCTGCCTCATTTTTTATTGGCTGTTAGGTCGTCAATCAAACTCCCTACGTTTCCTAGTGTAACTGACTCGTCGGCGCGCGGGGATTACGTGGTTTATGCAGCGGTTCTTAGAGGCTTTTTAAAACTGTCGCTTCCTCGCAGTTCGCACAAAGTTTGTCGCGATGGCGGACGAGAAACCACGACCGGTTCGCCGCAAAAGAAAGTCCATTTTTGAGGTCGCCGAAAGAAGAAGAAGAGAAGGGGAAAAGGAGCAAAGCCAAACTGAGGTGATTCTTGGAGATCTCGTCCAGCGGTGGCGCGACTGAAGCAACTGACGTGTTGGTTGCACAACATTTGAAAAAGAACTGTCGCTGTATTTCTCTTCCCTTAAAAAATCCTCGATACAACCTTTAAGTCTCATCTTAAAACCCAATTTTATTCTCTGGCTTTTAACACCTCGTGAGTCGTGTGCTCCTCCGGGTCTTTTATTTATTTTATTTACTTTTAATGTATTTTATTGGTTTTATTTATTTATTTCTCTTCTGTGAATCTGCTCTTATTTTTATTTGACTGTTTTTAATATTTTAAGACTAGTATAATTATTTTAGTAGTTTATTTTATCATTTTACTATCGTTGTTATTATTGTGTATTTGTGCAACACTTTGGAAACTGCTTGTCAAATGTGCAACAGAAATAAAGTGGATTGGATGGAGACAAACAAAGATAAACCAAAGAAATAAGTGAACGAAAGGTGGTTTTAAAGAGATTTTTGAAGGTTTTCAGGTCTTTTTTAAACATGGGGAGGGTGGATGTGTCTCTGATGTGTTTGTGTTTGGTTATGAAGGAACTTTTACACGATCTCGACGGGCTTTAATTGGATTCACTGAGGGATTTTTGAGGAAGAACAGCACGTTTTATTTCCTACTTTTGTTTAATCACTATACTGCCAGTTTAATATTGTGGTTTTATGTTTCCACGAGCTTGTATATTGTTACAACTCCCGCTTCCTATGGCTGTGGTGTTTCCCTCGGCATCAATGGCCCAAAGTTTATGAAAGGGTTTATTATCTAGGATTTCGCTCTTTTCATTTTTGCAGAACTCCTCCCATGTGCTTCAAAACGCTCTCATTGTGAACGTTCGAGCGTGAAATGCTGACTTATTATTCATGCGATTTAATAATATTCAATAAAAGCACGTTTATCTGTGGGGGATGTTTCGGTCTCGATGATGTTGGACGGTGGAGTCGTCAAAAATATCGAAAATTAGAGACAAAAGCGACACGAAAACTGATTTATTTCAAAACCAAATACTCAAAATATTAAATAATACTGAAATTGAACCAGTGTCAATACTGCAAAAACTTTCCTTCTTTCCTTCACTTCGCTCGTTTCTATGGCTACGTCACTGCTCCGTCTGGAATGTTCCACAGTGTGACATTAAACAGCTCTACTTTAAATTGATTCAATTACAGGTGCTTTTAAAGCTCAAAAATACCTCGAAAATCAAACATTCCGACACAGATCTCACCTGTAACTTGCTCTGGTTTGGTCTCCGTGAAGATAGAAAGGTTTAATGCTGTACTGTGGAACATTCCAGACCAACAAAAATAACATCTACACGGAGAAACGCATTTGACGGAGCCTCCAGCAAAAAAAGTTACACAATGTCGCTTGAACAGCACAAAATGTGAGCGTTCCTGAACAGTTTTAGGAATGATTTGAGCTTTAACAAAACAATTTTAAAACCTCACGCTAAGATAAAGAAAGTACTATTATGTTGTGTAGAAAAATTACATTCTACTACTAAAAAAAGAGCATTTTATCTTCATTATTTTTTGTTATTGTTACTGAGAAATGAGGGAATCAGCATTTTAATAACTCCACAACTTGACAGGATAGAACGTTAAGAGACAAGTTTATTTGAATCAGAGCTGGACGCTGGTTTTAAACGTCAGAAAAGTCGAGGCCTACAACTTTTTTTTTAAGCTGTTTTGTCTTTCAATTGGAGATACTGTGTTCCAATTGTCCTAATCCAGTGTTTAATGCCGTCTGTGCGGTCAATGCTCCCTGTTCCAAACCTGTCATAACAAAGATCATGGAATACATTACAGGTTACATAACACACCCCTCTATAGCCACAGGCCTGGGAGACTTTATAACGTTAAGTAACACTCGAACTTAACCTAGATAATCACAAATGAGGAATTAGAAGCACGAGAGAAGCATTGAAAAACAAAAAAACACTTCCTTGTAGGTGTTTGTTTAAGGTCTGCTTCATGTCACGTTACACCGGTGCAAAGTGAAAGCGAAGGCAAACTAAAGTCGTAAAACTTCTAAACAGCGAATTTAACACGTATTTTCTGATTTTGTTGGACAGATCGGTTACTAATGCGTTTAATTCAAAGGTTTTGTGAAATGTCTGATTGCACAACGCTCACATTTGCTTGCTTCGACCAACTGATGTGTGGCTGCAAAGTTATGCAACCTCGAGGCACGATCCGCATGAGGAAGTTATTAATAGTCTCGAAATTTAAATCAAAAGTTTAGATTCGGAATGAAAAATCAAGAAAACTACACTGTAAAGTCGTGTATTTCATTGAACGGACAGAATTTTTGGTTTGGTCATGTGTTTTAGTGAGAGGTTACAACTTTTTATTTGATACTTACCTTTGAATAATGAACATACTTACCTAGTTTTAACTCATTTCAAAGTAAAAAACTAGGACATCCCTGTTTTTTTTGGGTGGTTTGTAATAATAAAACTGTAAAACGAGTGCATACTAAAGGACATTTGTTATGGAGAGACGATTTATGACGAACATGCGAGCCAGTTTTGTCACATTTTCTTTGTGTTTTGGTTGTTTTTAAGCAGATTTTTTGTATTTTACCTAAACAGATGACAATTTATGAGTTATTTTACTGTTGGGAGGGATCAGATTAGTCAGAAATAGGGACACATGGGAAATTTCTTGTATAAAACTCGGACAAATCAGTATAGTTGCATTTTCTTATGCGTTTTAAGCATTTTTAAGCAGATTATTTGTATCTTACCTAAACAGATGACAATTTATGAGTTATTTTACTGTTGACAAGTATCAAATTGGTCAGAAATAGGGACACCTGGGACATTTCTTGTATTAAACTTGGACAAATCAGTATAGTCGCATTTTCTTTGTGTTTTTGTCATTTTTAAGCAGCTTTTTTGTATTTTACCTAAACAGATGACAATGTACACTTCTTTTTACTGTTGGGAGGGATCAGATTGGTCAAATATAGGGACACTAGGGACATTTCTTGTATAAAACTTGGACAAATCAGCGGTTTTGGATAAATCTGCTGGGACAGGGGACACATCGCTCAAAACTGTGACTGTCCTGGGTAAATAGAAAAACGTGTGGTCAATCACAAACCTGCTGCTGCTGAACAATACTTAC